CACTGGGCAGGTAGCCTCCAGGGCAATACACGCTATCAACAGGCTTCCTACCCACACAGGTACCCCACAGGGGGCTGCATCCAGTGAGATGTGGCAGTGAGCACCTCCCACAGGAGTCAGGGAAGCCACCTGGCAGAGATTAGTCCTGGCAAACCCAGCCAGTAAAAGTAAAGGGAGCCCAGAGGCAGGCCCACAGAGGAGCTGACTGTTGAGTGGCTATGTGGTGAGCCTTCGCACTCAAACATTTCTCTGTATCCGTGACTTTCTTATAGAAAGATGAACCAGTATCTATAATTTAAACCACTATCTAGTGCTCTTCTTAAGATTCCAAAAAGGTGAGAGAGAATATAGAGGGATACAGAGAAAAACACTCAGGAACATTTATTTTCATGTAATAGCTAGATAGGTTTAGTAATCTGAGTTCAAGCAAGAAATGGATACTAATGCCTAAGGGACTTCACAGATAACAAAATGCAGTGGGTGTAAATACAGCTCCTGACCCTTAGAAATAAATTACGCTCCATGGCAACAAAGTTTAAGAATCTGTGGGTCCCCAAAGCAACTGGTCTGCTAAACATCATGCTTGTTTAGAACTATGAAGACTGCTTCAAAATGAATCTTGCCGCATTCTGGCAGATTAGGCTATTGCTCTGTGAGTAAGGTTTTCAGTACCTACTACTCGAAGTGTTTATGGTTTCATGGAATGAATCAATTTAGCAGGGAAATATATTTCAGGGTCCATTAAAAATTACTGATACCCATGTTGAGATTGATGATGACTTCCATACATTCTGGTCTTTCTGAGTGCACATTTATGGCTGATGCAGGATGGCATATGTTCTCAATCGCATGCACTAACAGAGCCTGTGTGTTGTCACCCATGTACCCTTCCCTGCAGGTATGAGGCAAAAGAATATTATGAGGCACTTCCAGAGCTAAAGCTGGTCATCGATCAAATTAACAATGGTTTCTTTTCTCCCAAGCAACCTGACCTCTTCAAAGACCTCATCAACATGCTATTTTATCATGACAGGTGAGTTCCCACAGGGAATCAGTATGATGTGGACTGTGAAAAGAGATAAAAACATACTGAACCCATGACAGGCCACTCACTTTGATTAACATAGATCTGTGATTTGATCTGCAAACTGGAGCTTGAGAAAAAGAGCTCATCTCCATCAACACTATCAGTGAAGTTTAAGGATGAAACCCTGAAGGAGATGCCAGGTTCTTGAGACGTCATGCTAAACAAAATGTATCAGACACAGAAAGTTAAACATTGCGTGGTTCCTCTCATCTGAGAAACCCAAAATAAAAATAACTTAAAGAGCAAAAGAAAAAGAGAGATGGTAGGAAATGGGGGGTAGATTTTTTGGGAGATGATAGTTATGATATTAGCATATCATAACTATTACTAAACTATTATGTATAGTAATAGTTTTTAAAAGAGAAAAAAATAAAATCTTCGATCCTGCTGTCACTTTGCTCCTCTCACTGGTAAGGCTCAACTTCCAAATGCATCCATGTGATGACGTTTTTACGTGGAACAAGGACCACAACACAGTTGCCGGCTTTGAACACTCTTAGGAATGGGAATAGGAGTTTTTGGTGTGCTAGTCATGCCTAACATCAAGCCAAAGAGAATTTGAAGTGGAATTTCGGCCTGCCTCTGTTAATGGAGCCTTTTGCTCTTTTCCTTTTTCCTTCCAATCACAAAACATAGGTTCAAAGTCTTTGCCGATTATGAAGCATATGTCAAGTGTCAAGAAAAAGTCAGTCAGCTGTACATGGTGAGTAGCTTGTGGAGAGCTATAAAAGAACTTGGTGTACTGTGGCTAACCAGATTTCTTTCTTATTAGATCTAAACACTAGGGACCTCCTCACTCTAGAACAGGGGGCATGGTAGGCTGAAGATGTAGCTCAACCAAGCGGCACATGCCCAGGATGCGCAAGGTCCTGTGTACTACTCCCAGCCCCACAAAGACAGAGAAGCGAGACAACTTTCCAGGTTACTTAGATCAAAACATGACTCTCCCAAGTCTAAGCAAAGGCTGGGAGTTGAGATTCCATAGCAATTGTAAGTCTTTGAATATCCAAGTTAAAAATCACGAGTTATTCATCATTTGTGGAGCACCTACAGTGTAGGAGATCCTGGCAGCTCAGGAAAGCCTCAGAGAGGTGGTAGAGCAGGTGCACAGTGCTAAGCCCTGAGACATGGCCTAGGCAAAAATCCCCACACCACTGTCACCAGGGCAGCTGTCCCAAGGTACAGAGCTGCTGCCACCCCTGCCCACAGAACTTCTGACCTGGGAGTGGGTGGGATCCACCATCAGTATTTGAAAACCCTGCCAGGCCACTTCTAAGGCTGTGCTTTAGTTTACTGGACTGACATCCCGATATTTGACAATTGCAAACTAAGTACCTCTCCTGGACTACTCGTGGAATTGGGCTACATGAGTAGAATATAAATGGGCAGATAGAGGGTCCTTTTAGGCTTGAATTTTTAAAGAAAGAGCAACAAAAAAAGATCATAGTGTCTGAAATTTTTGTAAAGGGTGAGAGCCAGTGAGTGAGACTCCATGAAAAGTCCTCTGTCTTTGTCCAGGAGCCCTCTAGGTATAGAGGTAGCAAGGGTGACCTGTGACAGGAGCGACTCTCAGTGAACTGCAGGAGTCTCAGAGCAGTGCCTTCAGGAGGAGAGCATTGTGCCAAGATTCCTGAGTGGCGCCACTAACATTTTGCTCTATTCTTTCCCAAGACAAGTGACGGGCAGGCCCTACAGACACCCTGGATGTTCCCAGGGGGTTGTAAAATCGGACCATTCCAGGCCTGTGCTACTTCCCAGCCTTGCTTTCTGTCTGAGTCGCACCGGTCTCCCTAGTCTCTATAGACCCCATAGAGTGAGTCCAAGCTAACTGCTGTGAGGACAGAGAGCAGTGGCAGGATGAAGCTAAGGGATACACACAGCCCCTGTGGATTCAAGGTTGGAGGGAAAAGATGGGCCACCTCGAGAAAGGTAAAGAAAACAGAGCAGGGAAGGAAAATGTGCACAAAGACAAGGACAGCCATAGCTGTCAGTTCGCATTGTGCGCCTCCTCTGTAAGCCGTGGCCCAAGTCCAGAGAGGCCCTGTAGGCCTCATGTTGACCCGGCCTGGCTTGCTCATTAGTGCAAATTGTGGTTTTCCACTCTCCAATAATTGTCCTGGGGAGGCTTAGAAAACGTGACCTGTACAGCATGGCGTCTAGCCATTATCTGTTCCAATAGTGGAATCAAGGGAAGACTGGAAGCTCTTATTTGCTTTTATTATAATAAATCTTACAAAGCCTGAGTAAACATAGTTTCGGGCTCTGTCTTACAGCACCTAAAGGTTTGATGATACTTAGTCGTTGTTTTAAATGCTTGTAATGCATTGTTAACTTCAAATAATGTCAGAGTTTATTTTGGGGGAGGGAGTGTTTTTTGGGGGGTATTTGGGAACAGGGTCTCATGAGATAGTCCATGTTGGTCTTGAACTCACAGCAACCCTGAAGTCAGGTTTCCCAAGTGCTGGGATTGCAGGCATGTGCCACCATGCCTGGCTCAACATTCTTTACAAAAGTATGAGGCTATACGTTAAATGTCTTTTTATAATCTTTTTTTATATAAAATTTTGAGGTGTTATTTTTTAGGATAAAGCTTTAGTCTACCCCAGTTGAGCCTCTGGGCCTCCATAGCAACCTCCAGGGTCATGTACCTTTAGAAAGAACAAAACAGCAAACTGGGTCAACACAGCCTTTCATGGCCTGCCTGCCTGCTTGCGTCACACTCACAGAGAACATTCGAACGTAGTGCTTAGAAGCAGTGTTAGCAGCAGGTTGAATCTCTCAACTTGGCATGTTACCTGGCATAAGTATTTGTCTCCTCCATCATTTAAAAAGACATTGATACATTCATAATAAAACACAGGCAATGTGGTGTTCATGTCCAAACATCGTATCCACAGCAGGAATTAACAGTTACGGAACTATAGCCTCGATTTCTCTTAAAATGAAAAATACTCCTTTTTGATTCCTAAGAGAAGTATATTCTAATATGAGAAAAATGCAGTCTGCCCCACCTGTTTACCAACTGTGGAGTGTGTACATTTATAGCTCACTGGAGTTCTGTCATTTCCCTACACGGTGAACTTGATCCGATGTCCGCCTCAGGCCTGCCGGCCATTCACGCCCTTGGCTGTATGTGTTTACAGACTCCAAAAGCCTGGAACAGGATGGTACTCAAAAACATAGCTGCCTCAGGAAAATTCTCCAGTGACCGGACAATTAAGGAATACGCCCGGGACATCTGGAACATGGAGCCTTCAGATCTAAAGATTTCCCTGTCCAAAGAATCTAGCAACGGTGTCAACAAAGTCAATGGAATGGAATTATAAACTGTCCATAGGAAATAGAGCTTCTTATTGAACTTAAACACTTTTACAACATTCACTGATTTTATTTTGTGTTTTGTCAGCTGATATTACTTAAGTATGTTTGGGAGTGGGGAAAGCACATGACTGTATTTGGGGCTAAAAATAAAGTGTCATTTTCCAAGGGTTGCATGAGTGTCAAAACATATTATTTGATAACATATCAGTAGCCTGCTGGGACTCTCCCTAAAACTAATCAGAAAGCTAGAAAATTGCCTGGAGCTTTTTAATGCCATTAAATGAACTAAACTAAAATAGAAATGCTTTATTTAATTGGAGTAGGGATATAGCTCAGTGGCATAAGCTCTGCCTGGCAAGTACAAGGTCCTGAGTTCGATCCCCCATAGCACAAAAAGGAGAGGAGAGAAGAGAGAAAGGTGCTTTAACTATGTTGAAATGCATTTCTCACACTGTTGTCTAAGTCAAACAAAAGACTTCTACCATCTTGGTCCATTTAGGCTTCTATAACAAAGGGCCATAAATTGGATAACTTATAAACAAAGGAAATTTTATTTCCCACAGTTCTGGAAATGAAAAGTCCAAGATCAGGGTCCTGGCAGATTTGGTGACCTGTGAGGGCCAGGCTGTGTCCTGGATGGGGCCTTCTCACTGTGTGAGATGAGAACCAGGGGAGAGGTTCTCTGGGCCTATTTCACTAATCCTGTTCATGAGAGCCCAGCCCTCAGGATTTTCCACCTCCTAAAGTCATCATGGTGGTGTATAGGTCTCAACATAGGAACCTGGGGGCAGATACAGACGCCAAGCCACAGCAACTGACCTATTCCCAGAATGCTTCTTGACTGTATATTGTACATGGGATCCAAGATGTACCAAGTTGTGACTCTCCACACTCCACATGCCCAGCATCCAAGCATTCCTTCTTAAAAATGACAAGCAGCCTTCAGAAGCATGCAGACCCAAAGTTCCTCTCCGCAGCCTTGTTAAGTGTTGCATCAGGAAAGTCCACTTCATAGGTCTTCAGTCGAAGGTTTCTGCTGCTTTCAGACCTCATGCCCACTGCTTGCTCAGGAAATCCCTGTAGAAAAAGGACCCGGGGGGCCGGGGAGATGGCTCAGTGGAATAAGCACTTCCCTAGCAAGCGCAAGGGCCTGAATTCAATCCCCAGTTCCACCAAAAAAAAAAAAAAAAAAAGGACCCAGATCAGCAGGCACTTCCTCCTCGTCCTCCTCGTCCTCCTCCTCATCCTCCTCCTCCTCTTCTTTTTCCTCCTCCTTCTCCCAGTAAACCAAAGCAGCCCGAGTTGCCTTTACATGAAGACAATCATTTAGCAAAGCAGTTCTTACCTCAGGACTGGTACAAACATGGGGCTTTTACAAAGATAGTTGTGCTGGAAGCCAGGAGGAAAGATAACCATCTTGACCCTCTCTTTGTGCCTGTAGGCAGCATATGCAGTTTCATAGAGCTGTAAGGGACAGAGGCAGAGACTCAAGGCTGGCAATTTCAAGTTATATGTTTGCTATACATTTCCTAAAAGACACAGAAACAACCAACATGGAGAGCTTATCTCATTAAGTCAGAGACATGGGACTCTCCAGACCCCCACTGCCACCCCCCAAGGCTGCCTGGTCAGCTAGGGGACAGGATACCACAGAGTTACTACAAAATACTGACAAATGCTCATCCTTCCACTGCCTGCACCTGACTGCAAAGGTATAAAGGATGATATGGGCCACTCTGTTACAGGTTAGTCTGATGGGGGAAAAAAAAATCTGCCTTTGTAAGCCCATGCAAAGGTTCCCACAACAGCCCCAGAGCTTCTCTCACTTGAACCAGATGAGAGGCTGAGTAACCCCCAAAACACTCCTTTAAACTCAGTAGCCAGCTGATGGCCAATCTGTAGACCAGGCTATTTAGGGGCCTAAAGAAGCCCTTACAGCTGGCCAACCAAATGGCTCAGCAGATTAAAGCACCTACAAACAGGCGCAGGGGCAGGGGGTTCAATCCCTGGCCTGCCATGCCGAGTCCACCCCCAGGGCACGCTGAGATGGGGATGGAGACTGGGCTTGGTGTCACGCACCTGTGTAAACAGGTGGATCACTACCAGTCCGATCTAGTAGTGAGACCCTCAACACCTTGTAGACCCTTCCCTAAAAAAAAAAAAAAAAAAAAAAAAAATCCCTCATAGCACCAGAGATCTTCTCTTAAGCACTAACCCAGCTGAATGGAATATAAAATAAATATAGTGTTTCCATCCACTCTTAGTTTACCTTTTTTGCATCTTCCACAGGCACTATTCTATCATCCACTCCATGTATGATGAGAAGGGGAGAAGACAGGAATTTAACACTACAGACAAGCAGGAGAAAAGCATTCGTTTCAGGAGCTGTATCATGAGATTTAACTTAACCATGTTAGCAAGACATGAGGTTTTCCCACACAAGAAACCTCTTTCTTTCCGTCCAAGGAATGACAATTTCAGATAGAGACAACTTCATGTAATAGTTTCTTCTCCAGTCCAGTTTCCCTACCTTCCATTTGTGCATACAGTGCTATCAAGTATTTATTGATTTAATCTATTTCTAGATGGTATTTGGAAACACTGGAGACTATTGAAACATTGAACACTGTACCTTATTTTTTAAAAAACCTAAATTTTTCCTTATTTCATCTTGTTTTATAAAAGCTGAAATATTTTCATTAAAAGGCTAAAACAGGCCAGGCACAATGGCACAGGCCTGTAATCTTAGCACTTTGGAAGGCTGAGGCAGGAGGATCACAACTTTGAGCCCAGCCTGGGTAACTCAGTAACCTACTACTGAGACCCTGTCTCAAAATAAGAAATAAGGAAAGGACTCACAATGCAGCTTAGTGCAAAGGTCCCGCATTCAAAAAGGCTAAAAGCCAAAATAACTCAAAACCACCAAATAACAAAAACAACCCCAGAACCACAGAGACCTTTTTGTAGCAATTTATTTTTCCCCATTGCAAGTAAAAGATGGACATGCAATTACTGGGTTTCATTAGCTTCCAGCTGGGATCCTACTTTGGTAATTGATGAAGGGTATGACACAAAGAATGACATCTCCCTCTCCAGTGACTTTCTCAAACAATATTTCCCTATACTAAACTCTGATAACTGAGGCTGGGGAGACAGCTCAGCAGCTACCTGGTAAGCACAAGGCCCTGAGTTCAATCCCTAGTATCGCAAATTATTATTATTAATAATAATAATAATAATAATCTCTGATAACCAGCGATCCCTGTCACCGTGTCCCAGTGTTACACTGATAGTGTTGGGTTTCCAGAGTGTGTTATTGGCAGCTGCCTACTTGGAAGTATTCTTAAATCTGTACCTGTGAGAGGCCAACTTGCCAAATGCTGGCCAGAATTGCTGTCAGGTTAGTAGGCTGGGTATTAAGTGGGCTTGGGTTACAGGAAGAATTTGGCCTAGAAGTCAGGGTTACCTTTAGGATTACTGGACTCAAGCAGTGACCATAAATAGATAACTCTCTTTCCAACTCAGAATAATTTTTGAGATAGAAGAAGCTTCAGAAAGATTTATGAAGATATAAGGAAACTAGAAATGCTAAACATTTATATAAACTGCATCCCAAATCCTCCTGCCCATCTAAGTAAGTCCAGATGATATCCTAGCATATCATGCCTAGTGATTCTGATTTATCATCCGGTAAATGACACAGTGGTTCACCGTAGACTCCCATAGAATAGTAACAGTCATCTCTTCATCATTAGCTTACTTTTCATCGTTAGCGAAGACTATTCTGTCTTCCTTTAGAGAATCTATAAGTGTACGAAAACACCTTGGAAACTTCCGGCAAATCTATTTTTAAAAAACAAAAAGAAACCATTAGTATCTGACACACAGCTGTGTCATTTGTCATCTTTCACTGTACTAACATAAGAAAGTAGTGGTTGTCTAAATATGAAAAACTCAAAATTTTTACGATTTTAAAATGTAATTCATGCCACTTTGGAGAATTTAGAATTTAGAAAAAATTTAGAAAAAAAAAGGAACAAAGCAAGTCACACACACACACACACACACACACACACACACACACACACAAATAAAGAAACAAGTCAGACATTTTCCTGCCATCCTAGAGAATCATGGGGAATACTTGGCTTTGACTTCCTGTCTTGTTTTAACACAAAATGCACCACAAACCTTTATCCCTCTCTGCTCATAAAGAAGCAGGGCTAGGTAAAATCTAAAGATTATTCCTACTATGAACATAATTAACCAGTAGGAAAAAAATATTCTGATTTTCAAAAGTTGTGGTAAAAGTATGCAATATCTAGGTAATTGGTTTGAGAAGAGTAGAACAGGAGGAACTATTGAATGTGATTCAATATAACAAAGTTTTAAAAGACATCTTGGGCTTGAACAGTGACCACAGAGCCCCGGATGTATCTACATGTAGCCAGTTTTTTCTGTAACAGCAAAGCCCAGTAACTAGAAAGCTCTCCACATCCGCTTTTTCAATATTTTGAGTAAGCTCAAAAGTACATTAGCTCACATGCCCCCCAAAATCCATTTTAAATGAAAGGAGCGGTAAAGGACAGGGAGACCCTGAGCAGTCAGCCCCACCGAAACCCACCCCCATTCGCTCCTCTCCTCCACTCTTGCCCCGCCCAAGCCACCTTCACCCTGTATTTGGTTGCTGCCAACCATCCCAAGTGGCACCTGTCTCCACGCTGGTCCTCTGTTATACCTCTCCCACAGGGACAGAAGAGTGACTGCCTTATCCTACAAATCAGATCTTCGCACTGTCACTTAGCATTGTCCAAAGGCACTTGGATTAAATTAGACGCGATGCCGCCTTGGCGCTAGAGGCCCTGCAGCAGCTCGTGGCTGCCTCCCCGCCTGCCTGTCGCTAAGCTCCTTCCTGGCCACCTTCAGGCTTCAGATTTCACTGTCTCTGCTTCTGCAGGGTGCCAAGTTCGATCTCACCGCAAGGCACTCACCTTTCTTGTTCTCTTGGCCTAAAGCCTCTGAATGTTGCCAGCGTAGCTGGCTTAGGACGCAAGTGTCAGCCCAGGGGGCATTTCTTCAGAGATTTCTCCTAAGCAGCTATTAACCCTTGGCTCCTACCACTCCGCTACTCTCTATCGCATTATTTTATTGCTTTTGCAGTGCTAGTGGGTATTTTGTTATTGCACATTTCTGCCTGTTTCATTAAAGGAGAAACCAGACATTTCTTTTTCTCTGTGATATCCCCGACCTAGAAAATGTTTTGGTGTGTGATAGGCACTCAGTATATATTTGCTCTGTTGTTTGAGCATCCCAGCTGTACACTTTTAGCCATTATCTGTCACTTCCTCTCAGTGTGCCTGAGCTTCCAATTTTGTATCTTAAAATAGATTGGCAAAGAGGGAAGACCAGCAAAACATCCTGCATATTCCTTCACTGTACAAAGACTGGAAAGAGATCCAGGTATCCATAGCAGCAGACTAGATCGCTTCATTGTGCTATGACTATGCAATGAAGTAAGCACGACGTCCTGAGTTCAATTCCTGGTTCCAAAAGAAAAACCCCAAAAACCAAAAGAAAAAAGAAGTGTTACCATACATAGTCATGAAAATGACCCAACTATAGCTCTCCACGTCAAGAATAAAATCCCAAAGAAATATAGTATTAAAAAACAGAATACAAGCTATAATTATATTTGCATATAAAGTCCAAAATCAGACAAAACTATATTCTTTAGAAATTCACTTGCAGATTATAACACTATAAAGAAGTGCATTGACAGGACCAACCTAAAAATCTAAGCTTCATGCCTGAGCATCAAGGATTACATAAAATGAGGCTTACAAAACTGGGACACAGCTGGGGAGAAAGCTCAGTGGCGTAAGTGCCTGCCTAGCAAGCACAAAGACTCAGGTTCGATGCCCAGTACCACATACCATGCATGCCCTGGAACCCCCACACACACCAAAACTGGGCATGGTGGTGCATGCCTATAATCCCAGCACTGGGGAG